GAAACAAAGAACCTCTTCCTTCATTCTTTAAAAAGGCATCGCATGGAAAGCAATATGTGACTGTTTCCCCCCAATCCTCCCCCGTCCCTCTTGATTCCTCCCTCGTCAGCTGTTGTCTTGAAGGAGGAGGAGGTAGCGGGCTGCGGCGAAGGTGACGGCGACCCCCTGACACCCACCTCCGCTCGCTCTGCCGTTGTCGGTGGGCAGGTGAGAATCAAGATGTCATTTAGCTTCTTGTGCATGACAGGCTATCGTGTATCAGAGTGGGAATGCTCCGACCAACGTCAGACTTTGGCTCTGGTAAAGGAAGAGCGAAAAAGCAAGGATTTTTGTGCTTGTGCGTGTCTAAACACAACAAACACACACACACACACACACACACACACACACACAACACACACACACAACACACACACACACACAACAAACAAACACAACACAACACAACAAACAAACACACACAAACACACATACACACACACACACAAACAAACACATAAACACAAACACACACGCATATATATAGAAAAAAACTGGAAAGACCAAAAATAGATATGAGTATAGCACCAGGACCGTCACAGGATTAAACCAACCCGAGTGATAAGAAAAGGCAAAGAATGAGAGCATTACACCCCTTTCGGTCCCCTATTCCGGTTAGACAAGGGGGCTGGTTTGGCCGGACGACATCAAGGTCATATCACCTAAAAAAATGTGTGACCTTCATCCATGATATAAAAGGTCTATGCCAAGGACGGACAGGTGGCAACGGAGGCTTAAGGGAGATCGTGGAGACAGAGGGAAAGAGAGAGAGAGAGAGAGAGGGAGGGAGAGGGAGAGGGAGAGGGAGAGGAGAGAGGGAGAGGGAGAGGGAGAGAGAGAGAGAGAGAGAGAGAGAGAGAGAGAGAGAGAGAGAGAGAGAGAGAGAGAGAGAGAGAGAGAGAGAGAGAGAGAGAGAGAGAGAGAGAGATGTATTTGTGGAAGGTAGGAGGGGAAGAGAAAAGATGAGGGGGAAAGAGAGAGGGAGAGAGATAGATTTGGTAAGAGAGAGAGAAGAGATTGATGGATGAGGATGAGAGAGGAAGAGATATGATGATGATGAGAGAGAGGATGAGAAAAAAATGTGGAGAGGGAGAGAGAGCATGTTAATGTGGTTAACTCCGGAACCCCTTTAGCGTGGGTCTTGGAGAAGGCGTATAAGATTGCCGAGAATGGGATGTTGCTGCCGAATGAGCTCAGTCCATGGCAGAAGGCAACTTTTTTTTTTCAATTTCAGGCAGATATATAGAACTTTAAGGAAACTCAATTACAAGCTGCCACATTTTCGCAGGTAAAGAAGGGAGTTTGTCATGGAACTCTGCCCTAGAAGTGTTTTCGGAAGTGAATTAGTAGAGATAGTACCGTTACTGTGTGGCTATATCGTCATCCCGTTCCAAGTCCTGGTAGGGAACATCAGATCTGCACTTGCAAGATGACCGAGAAAATGATCCATTTGTAGGTTATGTTTTCTCTCTCTCTCTCTCTCTTCTCTTCTCTCTCTCTCTCTAGGTTACTTTTTTATGAGTTAAGGAAAGTGAGATCAACCACAGATGTCCCGGTGTGGATATGAAGAGCTATCTCTGTGGCATGGAATTAGAGTAGTGTGTTCCTTCCTCAATCAACAAATTGCGAGAGATGAGATACGACCTTGGCAGATGTGAGACCACCGACCATCCCACCGACCATCCCAACCGAGAAACAAAGGTCGTTTTTTGGAACAGCTGAGAATAGGACATGCAGGTGACTCGAGAGGCGCCAGGAGCCAATAACAGTCCCTCATGAAGTCGAAAAGTGTTTGGAATTCTCACGCCAAATACAAGTACCTTTCTTCTTCTTTCTTCAAGTCCCAAAATCAGATTTTTAACATTCTTATATCACGTATTTACGATGTTCTTATTCAATTACATTTAATACTCATAGATATTTTTCGTTTATGACTTTATGGTGATTTTAATTACTAGCTTTACCGTCTTTGTAAAGGTATTCGAGAGCATATCTACTGACGAGGCAGGTTGTATTAGGTAACAAGTCAGTCAGTATCGCACCGCCAACCATCGGGAGGCACCGTGCTACTAACAGCAAGAGGCAGAGACAAACGTCCTCTATATCAAATTAAATATATACTTAACTCTATATAACCATTAAGTCTACTACAGACCAAGATACATTGTTGCTCAACACTGTATCTGAAACAGTTGCTCAGCAAATGGGCTGGAATTCTACGGAAATTCGTCTGCTAAAACAAAAGATGAAACAGATTACCGACAGATGGTGACGTCACTACGGATTTTTTTTCCATAGGCTGTTTTTCTTATTTTCTCTGACTACAGATTGATACAAATGCAATGTGCTTAAAACCATATGGATATATTTTCCATGTTCAAATAAATCAAATATGAAAATTGCTGAAACCATCCTAGTATGAACGGATATTAAGTGGCAGACCAAACGTCATAGCGGCGGAAATTTCATCCGATGTCACTTCATCTAGGTCTTCCAGCTAGTCATCACCAAATACAGAGCCACAATTCCATAGAAAGAGAGAGAAAAAAAGAAAAAAAAAATAGCATGTGGGTTGGAGGGAGAAGGAGAATAAAAATAGAAATAATAAGAAGAAGTAAAGGTAAGTTTTGAGTTAATATGATCCATCTTGGTCTCCTGGCTCTTGGCAGATCAGTCGATCTTTCCATACTCCAAACCTTCAGTCCTACAACACACTCACTATGAATAGTTGATTACTTTTTAAATAAGTCAAGTTTACAGGTTCGGTGACGCATTTTCTTAAGTTATACATCTAATCCATTTTCTATAAAGAGATACGGGTGCATTATATGTTGTTACATTATTGGCTTAATGTATTTATTGTAATTTGTTTTATGCAGTGCAATAAACAAGAAAGTTAAAACAAGGAATTCTTAAGCATCTGACCCAACACATTGTAATTAATAATTTATTTGTTTATATTATGTATGGTTCTATTTATTATTAATATCCGTTTTGTTTATAATCGATTTTTTTTTACGAAAAAAAATCTCTAAAAAAATGTCTCAGCAAATCAAAAAACAACCCTGCGAGACCAAGATACTTTCAAAACTCCGCAACAAAGTTTGGAAAAATCGCTTACCATTGAGCAAAATTCAAATTCGTTTCGCAGTTATTGCTCGAGCGTTCCGAAACAATATTTTGCGCATTGGGAAACAAGATACAAAATGGCGGGCAACATGACGCCTCATCAGCTGTCAGCCATTGGCCAGTCGCCTGCTGACTTATACTCAGTTATTGGGTTGCTGTGTGCGATCGAATACAAGA